CACACGAAGCTTTGGGTCTTCTAGGCAATGGCTATGCCTTCCCTTATCTATGCTTGCGAAACGTGGATGCCCCTATTGGAACATCTTGACTGGTTAGAAACATTTAGGCTGGCCTGCGATCCATCCTGGGTTTAACCAGGCTGGATTGTGTGAGGAGCTCACAAATCCTTGAAAGATCTGGGCAAAGTCCCATCAGTGAGCTCCTCCGGCAGGCAAGGCTGCGTTGGCTGGGTCATGTAGCCCGCATGCCCAGCCACCGCATGCCTAAACAGCTTTTGTTCGGCCGGATCGAGGGGGCTAGACGGGCGCGGCACGGGCTGGAGAAGAGATGGAGTGATGTGGTACAGGAGGACGTGGAGCTGAGTGGACTTGCCGATGACTGGTACCAGCGGTGTCAAGATCGGCCTCAGTGGAGGAGGCTCGTGAAGGACGCTACTGGGCAGTTGGAGGCAGTCGCCCTCCAACAACAACGGAGGGCGGAGGAGCGACGCTCACAACAACGAGCGGAGCGCCGGGTGGCTAAAGCACAGCAAGTTGGCACAGTAGGGGGCACAGGTGGTGCATCAGCCAGTCATCTCGGTCATCTCGGTCAGTCGACCCGTGGCACCTGCTGGGTCTGCCCCGTGACCTCCTGCCAGCGGGCTTTCGACACTTCACGTGGCCTCAAGGTGCACTTGGCCTGGCACAAGCATCGTGGTGACGTCACCGCCACTTAGTGGCGAATGGCGGTTGTTGTTGTTGTTGTGTGGCTGTGTGTGGCTGTCTTTGTGCGTGTGTGGTTGTGTGCGTGTGTGGCTGTGTGTGTGGCTGTGTGTTTGTGGCTGTGTGTGTGTGGGTGGCCGTGTGTGTGGGTGGCCGTGTGTGTGGCCGTTTGTGTGTGTGGCTGTGTGTGTGTACGTCTTTGCTTTTCAAAGGATTTCCATTTCATAACCGGAGCGGCGGCGGTAGCAGCGGCATCAGCATCAGCAGCAGCGCTAATGCGGTTATAATGCAGTGGCGGTCACAGTCCGGCCTGCTGCACAACCCACTGCGTTTCAAACGGTGGCCCCCCTCTCTAAACATTCATGGCGTCGTGATCTCGAGTTGCGATTCGACTTCGGAAATAATTTTGCTTTAACCGCTGTGGTGGAGACATCACGCCTCTGCTCGCCCACGTGCCCGGACCAGGGATATTCCCATCGATGGTACCGCCTGCGGTGGCATTCCATAAGTAGATGCAATTTATTTATGTATCCATTTGTAATAAGAGCCCTGCACCGCGCACTTCCCAGCTTTGAAAGAGGTCATTGACAGTTTCCCACAGGACAACATCGGTGCGCAAATGAAGAGTTATGCAACAGCTAACGCATCTCTTCCTGTGGAATTTAACAAACGTTTTCGGGACTTTGCAGTCATTGAAAAGGACATGTTGGTTTTCTCTTCTCCGTGGACCCTGATTGTGCTCCTCCACAGTTGCAGCTGTAGCTCATTGAGCTGCAGTGTGATGATGAGTGCCGCGGAAAACACCAGCAGTGTTCTCTTGTTGACTTTTAATGGCAGCTGGACAAAAGCAGGTTTCCAGAAATGCGGTGATTCGCTAAGAAAATGCTGAGCTTATTCGGCTCCACATATTTGTGTGAGCAAACATTCTCAGTCATGAACTTAAACAAGAATCGATTGAGGTCAAGGATGAGTGACTCCCACTTGCGTGACATTTTACGCATCTCAACCACTGTCCTCAAGCCAGACCTGGTCTCTTTACTGAAATCTAGATCTCAGTATCACCCTTCTCATTAGTGTCAGCAAGTTATCTGTTCCTTGATCAATCTGAAATTGAGTATTTTGAACGGTAACATCTTTCAATATTAACAGTGAAAAGCCTAAAGCACACTAATGCACTTGGACTTATGGCACTTGTTTTATTAAACTCTTGAATATAATTTGGTTATAACTGTTGATGTTATGTACCTGTAGATGTGACAAACTATTGCTTTCTGAAAGATCTTGTAAAAGACAAGGGCAAAATTCACTTGTTTTAAAGTTGAATGATAACAGACCACTTTGCATTACTTATAACTCCTATTTAAAATGTTCATGAGGCACAGATATTTAACTCATGGAAATTTAAGGTATTCTATACAGTTTGTTCAATGTTACCTGACTGAATGAAAGGCAGAATTGTGTTTTTAGAGTTGTTCACATCTGCCTGAGTGGCTTATATTTGGTTACATTGTCATTTGAAAAATAAAGGTAATTGTGACAATGAAATTTTTTTATAACAGTGTGTATTTTTACGTAACTTTTGTGGTTAAAAAAATGTCAGAAGGAACTATTGGCCCCTGGGCATCTTCACTTCATCAAATTTGGCCCTCTTTGCAAAAGGTTTGGACACCCCTGACTTAAGCGAACGCAACACATAAGCCAAGGCGGGCAGGCGGCTGGGAACAGACAACAGAGGCACTTTGTTGTCGTCCCGCCAAAGAGACTCCACCCACGTATACAGATGCAGACTGCCGTCTGTTGACATTAGCAGACCACCGTTACGGCTGTAACCTCGCTACTAAGCTGCTGCTGCTGAGGTGTGTGTGTTTGCAGCGTATCGCATAGGATTGCCTAGCGCCGACTAACCAGCCGATAGGCAGAGAGATAGACGTAGCACTAGCGTTATATCCTAAAAATAGATCTTCGGTTGACGACCGAAAGTCAATATCAGTTTCGGCTGAAACCGAAACCAGACCAAAAGTTACAAATTTACTTTCGGCTGAAACCAACAGTATGCCGAAAGTGGCCATTTGCCAACTTTCGGCACCAAAACCGAAACCGAATTTCGGTCGCCCTCTACTCAGAGAGTCGAGAGAAGCTGCTTATATAGGCGGGCAGGAAGGGGAAATCACAGCCAGTTATGACCTAAACTGGTTAATAACGTCCTTCAAATGATTTCTCAGTTTGTACCCATCTTCTAGGTTGAAAATGTGTCTGTGTTTATATATCTGGATGGCTTCATTGACAAATCTTTGATGGTAGCCCGAAGGTTTGCAGAGTAACTTGGTCTCGGAAAAAACTATATCGTGTGAACCCACCGCGTTAAAACAGTGATCAGCCACGGCAGAGGTATTGGTTCTGCCGTGTTTCAAACCTGCCTTGTGTTCGCGAATACGATCCGAGACATGTAACTGCAGACACAACTTAGTTTGTAGACACCAGGGTATTGCATGTCAGGAATCACATCCCTCACAGATGGGATCAAATCACAGATTTTGTGTACTGTGTTGAATCGAACCTGGATCTTGTGTTTGTTCAAGATTTGGAAAATATTTTTGCTAATACCTGCTATGTATGGCAAGGTGATGGTTTTGATTGGGTCCTCAGACGGTCCTCTCCCCATGGTTGGGGATATAGCTTTGTGGATTGTTCGATTTGAATAGCCATTCATCTTGAGGGCTTGGTGTACATGCTCAAGCTCACTGGCTAGGTGGTGCTGGTCGGAGATGCAACGGGCCCTATAGTATAGTGTTTTGATGAGGGAGTTCTTCTGGGGTGGATGGTGGTGGGAATCAGGCTTTGGATAGGAATCCGTGTGGGTGGCTTTCCTGTAGACAGAATGTCCCAACGAGCCATCAGGTCTCTTCTCAAATCAAGACTAAATTTCGATTTAAAGCTTTCGTGACTGCAGGGATTCATCTTCTTCGTTCTTTCGGTAAAGTCACATAGAAGGGAAATAATAAAATAATAAAATAAAACATAATAAAATAAAATTATCACGACGTTTCGGCCACAACGCAAGCAGCCGCCCTCAGGTCAAGAACAGGGCTGTTGGAAAGACAGCGTCCGAATGAACACCACCAAGCTTGGCAGCGTATATTTAAGCTGGGTTAGAGGGGGAGAGCGCCTTGACAAATGAATTTACATATCAACAGAGGAATTTAGCATATTTATGGAAAATGCAGATATGGGATTAGTCACTACTTGTGGAATGTGTAGGTGGTGGGGGGGGGTCTAAAAGTCATATTATGCTCGTGTATTATGTAGGATTAGCAGTAATAAAGGGAGGAAGTAGGATTAGCAGTAATAAAGGGAGGGAAATTTTAATAGTAAGGAGCTGCAGCAGCCAAACCACCACGTAAAAAAAATAAACTACATCAATATAATCAATATGCTCAATATCCCTTCTACGTGACTTTACCAAAAGAACCAAGAAGATGAATCAAGACTCATTAGTAGTGATGTTGGCATTATACTCTGAAACGTTTAAGCTTGTGAAATGCTGTGGTTTGCACAAAATGTGAAATAAAAACTACAATACTGAGATGTGCGAGTACACACAAATTAAAAAAAACCTTATATTAAATAATGAGACGTAAATATATATGACGACATTATGCTCCTGTGTGAACAATCTATTGAAGTTTTTCTGCCACAATATGAGTTTTCTGAATGCAAAATTGCCAAAGGAAATCGCACGTAACCCGTTAGACACCTGTGTAAAGGGAATTAAACAGAGACCCAGTCGACCAGAGAGAGAAGCCTACGCTTGTGGACGGGCCCATTGCGATAACATGAACAGTTAAAAATGTATTTACAATGTTTTTCTTTACTTATTATCAAGAGCCACGTCTCATATTTTTACGTGAATAAGAGGGGTCCTGTGACACATGGAGTTCACTGCAGGGTTTTGCTGTCACTGCATCGAACATGTCATAGGCAGCCACACTGTTGGACACTCGCATCCCAGAGTCATTTACACCTGACAGGAGCCAAGTTTGTGTCTTTTATTAAAGTTCAAAAATATCGCGTCAGAAACAAATATATCATGAACATTTTATCATAATTGGTCAACCGTAATTTTGGAATCGTTCAAACTGTCTACAAAATAGACATCTATTGAAAAATAATATCTTTCTCTGCGAATTAAATGCAATGTCTCTTTTAACGTTAAATAAATGTGAAATGTACGTTGCATGAGCAGTACAGGATGACTGTATTTTATATAGATTCATGTTGTATCAAGTAATCAACATTACCTTGTAGACAGCCTCGTTGCAATCCAGAAGAAAGTCACAATGTTGAAAATCCAGAGACCCATATTCTGCCCCGTGCTTTCTGTACGCGCTGCCAGTTAGAGGCAAATTACATCAGCAATAAAGAGATAGTCCCGCCTTGTTTTCTTTCTGATATCACTTTAATCGTATCAATCAAATCTATACGTGTTTGGAAAATTCTACTTTTTATGCTTTAAAAGGAGAGCACCTGTTTGGGTGTGCAACTTCAGCGAGTTATGCAGGATATGAATTGTCAGTCACGCCTGGCAAGCCCAGTTTGCCGCCTCAGTATATTTATACCCTGCGAGCGGAATGTGTGAGGGAGTGGAGCAGCAGTCAATCTTGGGTGCTAAAACGGAGCTCCCTGCTGGATAAAGTTAATAGTCATTGGGTGCTGCTCAAGTTATAGGACATGACAAACACCGGCTACTGATCCTCATCGTGACTGATTAGGCATAATGACTCAATGCATTTATAGTCTCTCGAAAGTGAACACGTAGCTGCACTCTCATTTGAGCAGCAGGGTGCATGCAGTGGAAGCGCTCCCTTCTCACAGCAAAAAACTCCTGAGTTCGATTCCTGACTGGAGCCTTTTTTCATGGAGCTTGTACAGTGAGGGAAAAAAGTATTTGATCCCCTGTTTATTTTGTACGTTTGCCCACTGACAAAGAAATGATCATACTATAATTTAATGGCAGGTGTATTTGAACAGTGAGAGACAGAAAAAGAACAAAAAATCCAGAAAAACGCATGTCAAAAATGTTATACATTGATTTGCATTTTAACGAGGGAAATAAGTATTTGACCCCTCTGCAAAACATGACTTAGTACTTGGTGGCAAAACCCTTGTTGGCAATCACAGAGGTCAGACGTTTCTTGTAGTTGGCCACCAGGTTTGCATACATCTCATGAGGAATTTTGTCCCACTCCTCTTTGCAGATCTTCTCCAAGTCATTAAGGGTTCGAGGCTGACGTTTGGCAACTCGAACCTTCAGCTCCCTCCACAGATTTTCTATGGGATTAAGGTCTGGAGACTGGCTAGGCCACTCCAGGGCCTTAATATGCTTCTTCTTGAGCCACTCCTTTGTTGACTTGGCCGTGTGTTTTGGGTCATTGTCATGCTGGAATACCCATCCACGACCCATTTTCAATGCCCTGGCTGAGGGAAGGAGGTTCTCACCCAAGATTTGACGGTACATGGCCCCGTCCATCGTCCCTTTGATGCGGTGAAGTTGTCCTGTCCCTTAGCAGAAAAACACCCCAAAAGCATAATGTTTCCACCTCCATGTTTGACGGTGGGGATGGTGTTCTTGGGGTCATAGGCAGCATTCCTCCTCCTCCAAACACGGCGAGTTGAGTTGATGCCAAAGAGCTCCATTTTGGTCTCATCTGACCACAACACTTTCACCCAGTTGTCCTCTGAATCATTCAGATGTTCATTGGCAAACTTCAGACGGGCATGTATATGTGCTTTCTTGAGCAGGGGGGGCTTGCGGGCGCTGCAGCATTTCAGTCCTTCACGGCACGGTGTGTTACCAACTGTTTTCTTGGTGACTATGGTCCCAGCTGCCTTAAGATCAATGACAAAACCCTCCCGTGTAGTTCTGGGCTGATTCCTCACCGTTCTCATGATCATTGCAACTCCACGAGGTGAGATCTTGCATGGAGCCCCAGGCCGAGGGAGATTTACGGTTCTTTTGTGTTTCTTCCATTTGCGAATAATCGCACCAACTGTTGTCACCTTCTCACCGAGCTGCTTGGCGATGGTCTTGTTGCCCATTCCAGCCTTGTGTAGGTCTACAATCTTGTCCCTGACATCCTTGGAGTGCTCTTTGGTCTTGGCCACGGTGGAGAGTTTGGAATCTGATTGATTGCTTCTGTGAACAGGTGTCTTTAATACAGGTAACAAAGCACTCCCTTTAAGAGTTGTGCTCCTAATCTCAGCTCGTTACCTATATAAAAGACACCTGGGAGCCAGAAATCTTTCGGATTGAGAGGGGGTCAAGTACTTATTTCCCTCATTAAAATGCAAATCAATTTATAACATTTTTGACATGCGTTTTTCTGGCTTTTTTTGTTATTCTGTCTCTCACTGTTCAAATAAAGCTACCATTAAATTATAGACTGATCATTTCTTTGTCAGTGGGCAAACGTACAAAACCAGCAGGGGATCAAATAATTTTTTCCCTCACTGTATATATCTCCCCCTCGGGTCTGTATGGGTTTCTCCGTGTTCTCAGTTTTTTTTCCTCTCATAGCTAACTGATATGGGCAGAAAAATCCCAATGCTGAAAAATTATTGGAAAATGCTCAATTGGGATTCCACACAGCAGCATTACCCCCCCCCCCCCCCCCACACTGAGAAAAACTTTGCAGGACCTCCTGAACAAGAGTCTTGGGACTCGGATAAACTTTCCCAGGGTTAAAAAAAGCATAATATGTAAATCTACGAAGAGATGTACTGATATATTCTTTAAATAGGGTCTTAATGAAAAAATTGTATTATGGCCCAATACATGACAAACGTAAGTGTGCACTAAACACATGGAGGAAATAATTTTCTTTTTACATCTGCCATCATTGATGGTAGCAATGGTATCTGTATGTCACGTACAGTTAATATAATACTTTTTTTCAACGTACGACAAGATTTCCCAACACAAGTGTGCTGCTCACAAACAGCAGGAAGGCACGACTTGCATCATCCCGTGCGTGCACATCGTCTAATAAACACAGCGCATGTACAATTCTCTCAGCCATTTCGAGACCACCAGCTCAATAACTGAATGAATGTGGTCGTATTGTAGTGTCATCGCATGACATGTATGCAAGGTATGTTGGGAGGTGTTCTGCTGTTTGTAAGCAGCACAGTTTTGTGTGATATTAAATATATTTATTTTCAGCCTGCACGACGCATTTATTTTCCGAACATGCAAACAAACATTCTCTGATAACACTGGTCTAAAATTTCTTAGACGTCGTCTGCTTCAGAGATGAAATGTGCTGTTTATTATGGATTTTGACGTGCTGAATTCAAATATGACAACGGAAACAACTGATTGGCTACTGTTCCCAATATATTTACGTTTTTAAATTTTACGTCTATGTATATTGTGTAGATAGTAGAGTTTTACTCATAAATTGTAAACCTAGGTCTTTTTATGTGTTTATGGTTGCTTTACATGATAATGTCACCTGTCCTGTTCATGTAACACTTTAAAAAAATCAGCAAAAGGGTTATATAAATAACATGTATTATTAAAGAAAAGACAAACAACAATTATGTATAAATAAGTACATAGTTTAGTCCTTATTCAGTGTCTTCTCGGCGCTTCTTGGCTTGTCTCTTGTATGTGTAGTGACATTGAATGAGTCACTGTAGCGCGTGGCGCTGGGAGATTGGTAGACAATGGAATTATGGGTAGAAGCCCGTTCTACCAGTTGGGCCCGTGGGCCAAGCTCGGATCCTTCTGGGGGATCCAGAAGGGTGCGTGGCCGAGGGCTGAGCCTGGCCATGCTGGGGAGAATAAAAGGCGAGCTCCAACTCATAGTAGGGGCTGCTGCCGTCGGGAGTGGAACTTGTCGTGCTGCTGTTGACGTGGTCCCGACCCAGTATGGAGTTATCACCTATGGCTGTGAGAGCCAGAATAAACAATAGGGATAATGCCTCCTACTAGTGTATCTGAATTAGTACACTACATATGCATTAAATGGAGCATCTCTTGTCACTGTCCAGCAATAGTCTGCAAGCATTGATGGGCTCCATTTGCCCTGAAAGCGTTTCTTCATTGTTGCAATATCCTGATGAAAGTCTGCAAGCATTGATGGGCTCCATTTGCCCTGAAAGCGTTTCTTCATTGTTGCAATATCCTGATGAAAGTCTGCAAGCATTGATGGGCTCCATTTGCCCTGAAAGCGTTTCTTCATTGTTGCAATATCCTGATGAAAGTCTGCAAGCATTGATGGGCTCCATTTGCCCTGAAAGCGTTTCTTCATTGTTGCAATATCCTGATGAAATCGCTCGCCATGCTCGTCGCTCACTGCTCCGCAGTTCGGTGGGAAAAAATCGAGATGAGAGTGCAAAAAATGTATCTTTAGTGGCATGTTGCAACCAAAGCTTTTGTATGCCTTGACGGAGTTTTCCACCAACTCCTTGCATTTGTCTGCCTTGTTGTTTTCAAGAAAAACTGTTGCCACTAACTGGAAGGCTTTTCCATGCTGCCTTTTCCTTGTCACACAGTGCACTGTCAAATGCTTAATCTCGAAGAAGTTCACGAATCTGAAGACCAACAAAGACACCTTACTTTATCTTAGCTTCACTTAACCTTAGACATTTCCACAGAGATACTTGAAAGCTGCTTGTGTATTGTCAATGGCTTTGACAAATTTCTTCATCAGACCCAGCTTGATGTGTAAGGGTGGTAACAAAATCTTCCTTGATTCAACAAGTGGTGGATGCTGAACACTTTTCCTCCCAGGCTCCAAAGACTGTTGGAGTGGCTAATCTATCTTGATGTAGTGGGAATCTCTCGCATGACTATCCCATTCACAGAGAAAACAGCAGTCCTTTGTGTATCCAGTCTGCAGACCAAGCAAGAGAGCAACAACCTTCAAATCGGCACAAAGCTGCCACTGATGTTGGTCATAGTTTATGCACCTCAAAATTTGTTTCATGTTGTCATATGTTTGCTTCATATGGACTGCATGACCAACTGGAATTGATGGCAAAACATTGCCATTATGCAGCAAAACAGCTTTAAGACTCATATTCGATTAATCAATTAACAGTCTCCACTGATGTGGATCATGAACGATGTTGAGGGCTGCCATCACACCGTTGATGTTGTTGCAGGCTACAAGATCACCTTCCATGAAGAATAATGGGATAAGATTATTTTGACAGTCATGGAACATGGAAACCCAAACATCACCTGCCAGGAGATGCCACTGCTGCAGTCTGGAGCCCAACAGCTCTGCCTTACACTTGGGTAGTTCCAAATCCCTGGCAAGGTCTTTCAGTAAAGTCACGTAGTTAAAAAATTAAATTAAAATTAATAAATATAAAGCAATAAAAATCACGCCGTTTCGGAGGCAACACAAGCTTCCGTCTTCAGGTGAAACCGTCACAGCAAAATATCTGTACCTTATATAGTGGTTAAGGGGGGAGGAGCCAGGAAGGGCAGCGGGGGAGGAGGAGTTGTGAAGTGGTCAATTACTGCTTTTGTTATA